ACCTCTCTCTGGGAGGTGTGAATTTGTGAATGCGGATGGGCAGCCACTGCTGGATTAAAGTGCAGCAGCTATTTAAGGACAGAGGGTGACAATACAGGGGGTTGCCAACAGTGCAACAAGTGCTCCTTAACGCTTGCAACATAAAGCTGTTACCTGCTGCTGTAGGGTGGTCCAGCTTCTTATGTCAGTGAAGAGTTTGGTCCATCAGGTTAAATCACTTTTTTTACGATATGTGAACCTGACAAACTTATGTCTAGGTTTGAAAATACACTTTCAAATTCTCCAGTGCTATTTTTTCCTAGATGTAATGACATAATTACCAGTTACAGTATAGGAAGCAACAATGAAGCAAACAAACACAAGCAGCTGAGAAAGAAAAGTGAAGGTCTAGCTCCCCTGTTTGAAGTTGTTGATTTTGTCCCCTGGTGTTCCCACCTGACTTCAGCCACTATATTCATTTGACCACATAGTGGGCACTGATGTTACTTTATATGCTCACTGGAATTACGAAAATAATACAAGCACTTCTTTGTACACTTGTGTGAACAGTCTGTGGCACAAAATACAAAGTTTTGGCCTGGAAGTGGGGGCTCGCTGTGTGTTGCTGGTATATTCACAACCTTCTCGTGGGCAGCATCTTTCAGTGTTGCAGATACCTCAAACTACTCAGCTGCTGCTGTAGCTTCAGCTGCAAATAGTTTTGCCAAACAGCAGTATGTTATCAATACGCATAAGAAAATCTCCAAAATCCATTAATGCAGTGAATGCTACAAGCAATTGTTTAACTCCTTTTTAATATTTGCACATAAGGTAAATAAAGGCCAGTGACCGACTCTTTTGGCACATGAGCCAAGGGGCAGCAAATGAAGCTGGGAGGTTTGGAACAAATGAGAGAAATGTCTTCACAGAATTGTACTTAAGCCATGGAACTCCTTGGCAAGAGTGCTGTGCGGACTGAGGGGTTTTAAAGCTATTAGATGAATTCACAGAAGAGAAATCATTTAAAGGCTATCGAATGCAGTGCATCTCTGGCTCTGGAAATCCCAAAGCTGCAGATGGCTTGTGCCTGGGAGAGCATCCCGAGGCAAAAGTGCTGTGCCCTGGTTTTCTGTGCTTCTCCAGGTATCCACTCTCAGCTCCTCTCAGAGGTAGGGTATCCAGTCAGACCTGATGTGGCGGTCCTGGCTGAGTTAAAACTCCCCTGAGATAGTCCATAACTGATCTGTCTCTGTTGTGTCAGCGTGCAGTTTTGATGTTTGTAAAGGGCTTGTCTATGCAAGGAAGAAATTCTGGACAAATGTAAGATATGAATTTTAAGTAGGTTGCTGTGTGGAGGTTTTTATTGTGAAATAAGAATTATTTTAAAATTCAGCCAAAATGGTTGTTTTCCTGGTTTCTATTACATAGGAAGCCATGTAAATAATTTGCTTTACTTAGTTGCTTTACTTAGTTTGCTTTACTTAATTAATTTTGTTCTGATTAATTGTTGACATTTAATTTGTTAGAATTTTGTTGTTTTATTTTCTCTTTTTTTTGGGCTTTTTTTCTGCATGTTTCTTTTGTCCTAGAAAGTGAAGTTCAGACTACAAGGAATACGGTCAGGGTAGCTTTAACTCTGTTTAATACATGTTTGTATAACCTAAAAACTCCGCCTTTCTAGTCTTTCCACTGATATCAATGCAAGTTTTTCATTAGCTTCAGTGAGTGTTGGATCAGGCTGGAGATATTAACTTAATTTAATGTCTTTTTTTTTTTTTTTTTAATCCCCCACCCATTTTAGTTTTCTACTTCCTTCCTTTTACAGAGGTGGAGTTTCAGGACTAGACATTCCAGTTTGCCAAAGACGTGTTGCTACTAAGGCCTGTAGCTATGGGGGACACCCATCAGTCCACTCATTATGTTAATTGCTACTCACTTAGAGGTTATTTGGTCGAAGCTGGCAGTAGACAGTCAAGCTGGTCATAAAGGTTGTGCATAGCAGGAGAGCTCTGAAATCAAAGACAAATGCTCTTTTTGCTTCTCTGAGGGGATTTTCTGCCTAATTCAGGACTGCCTGGTGAGCGGGCGCTTATGGAGGTCTCGGCTTGGATTTCAGCCCCAAGTTCACCACCTGAGACTCGCCGAGAGCCGCCCATCAGAAGTGGGCCCCGGGAATAGAGAGACAGTGATCCTTCGTGGCCATTAGCCAAGGAGCTGGGAATTTTGGTGACTATGCCCTGATTTATTAAACAGCTATTACTTCAGGGCTTTTTCCCCCCCCTTTCCTGATGTTCTTAAGTAAATATTGCTTTAGTAGTATGAAAGAACACTTACTGACCCATTTATAAACCGTAGCCATTTACATGTCTCAATAAACTAACTTGTGGGTAGGGATTGGAAATGAACTGGGAGAGGCAGATGCTTTGAGCAGCAGTAATGCAGATTTTGATTTATAAAGTTCTCTAATCAATCAATACAAGACTGACTGAGGCAATCAGATAATCTGAATAATTAAATGGCTTTTCAGGGACAAATTAAAATTTCTTATACATGCCACATCCGTCTAAATTATATTTGGTGTCCAGGAATAAATGGGTTCATTGTTTTGTTTCATTCCTGTATCACAAATGCTTTTGGCTTGTTTCTAGACCATTTGAAAAAAAAAAAAAAAAGGATAAATGACAGTTTCTACTCTTTTATATTGGAAATAGTACTCACAGAAAGAAAATGCTTGTTTCCATAAACTTAGATCTATTATACCATCTCACTTTTTACCCTCATCAGAGATGTTTCGACAGCATTTTTACTATGTAGAGAATTATTGTACTATATAGAATTTTTTTTCTTTTTGTTTGTTTTTACTCACTTCCTGCTTTCAAATGTGATATCCTGCTTCACCTCTGCATGAAGTGAGTAAGAGTGGGAATTGCTGGATTTTCTCATGCTGCTTTCCACTGGCTTAAGGAATTACTATAGAGCAGGTTTCCCCAACTAAGGGACACAAGTTTGAAGAGTCAGAAGGAGCAAGTATTTTTATTTTATTTACTATACCAGGGTATAGTAAAAGAAGCTGGGAGTGAGAGGGCACAAGGAGCAAAGTTTCCTCAGGCTAAATGGAAGGAAAATAATTCACAGATGCTCCTGATCCCAGTTCCTCCCTGGTTCCTCAAGGTGTGTTTTCGTGGTCGGTTCAAGTCCACCGAAGTCTGCGCTGTGGCAAAGGTGTGGCAAAGAGGTGCCACCTCATCCACCCCAGCTTCCATGGCCTCTCCTTTTGCTCTTTGTCCCCAGCAGGGCTCATGTGGCCAGGTAGAGATCCAGGAACTGAATCTGGGTGAAAGCTGAGATGAAATAAAAAAAAAAATTAAAAATATTGAGGATAAAAGGGAGGGGTGGGAATGCAGAGGCCGGGGAAAGACTGGGACTCACAGCTTGAAGTGAAGGACCCTGCAACCAGATCTGTAGAAGACCTAAAGCTAGTCTTCAGCTAGTCTTCAGTTTCCACATGAAAAATGCTCCTCAGAACTACAGGCAGTTGTAAATGAATATCATGTCCATCTCCTCCACCCTCAATTAGTCATCGCATAACCAAGCTATACGCGTTTAGTCCTTTTCATCTTTCTTCTTGTCAAGCCCTTTAGCCTGTCCCCCTCACCTACTCATCCCACCAATCATTTTAATTAATCTCTGAATTTCTTTGAAACTACTAGTTTGTGGAATGGAGGAAAATGAGTAGGTTAGAGAGACAAGATTGTGAATGATGGAGGTGGGGCAAAGTGTGGAGACTTTGCAAGACCTGTTGGGTTACCTCTGGAGCAGGACAGCAACACTGTAAACACAGAGAAAGACTGCAGAAGTAGGGGAGGAACCACTAAAAACATTTTCCATTTTCTTAAGAATTCTGTCTGAGAGATTCAAACGCTGGATGTTTATGTGCAGCAATATATGAATCAAAGATTTGACATGAGTGTCTCCAAAGCAGATGGGTTGACCTTCTCTTTACCTGATAGTTATACTAGATTTCTCACTATTATTTTCCCATTCCCAGGTAGCTTTATAGAGGATTTCAGTGGTCACTGCAAGTGTTGAGAAATATATTTTCAAATAAGTTATGAACTATATATTTCTTTATTGAAACTGCATGTATTGTATAATTTTTGATCAAAAAAATGACCAAACAGAAGTTAACTACATCGTGTAGAGATGAGTCTGAAAGGAACCCTGGGGCCTTGCTCCCCATGCTTTTTCAGGTGTTACAAATCAAAATGTCACACCATTAATGTCTGTGTTCATTATTTCTATACCATAGAATAACCGGCGCTCCGAGAAACAGAGAGTTGGGTAAAGTTCCTGTCCTGTGGAGCTTACAGTCGGAAAAATCCTCTACACAGAAACAAGGCTGGCAGAATAGCAGTTGATCCGCAGCAGGAGCCCGAGGAGTGAAGGTAAGCAGTCGAGGAGGCCCTGGAGAACGGGTGGCATATGGGAAGCAGACGGCTGCGCTCAGCGTTGTGAGCTGGCAGCATGAAAAAATGTACCATACAAATAGAAGCCCAGTAACGCTGAGCGCTGAGGAGGCAGATGAACACCTTTGAAAAGATACTTACTGCATTTTGGGACAAAGGTCCTGCTGGAAGCAGGCATTGGTTCAGACATTACTGAGGTGGGGTTTCACTGGGGAGAACTGAAGTTATCTTTCTGGCATTTTGATTTTTCAATAAACACATATTAAAAGAATGTGTTGATTTATGATTGACAATTATGAACCAAAGGCTCAGAATAACTGGATTTAACCATTCAGAGCCCTTGGTAAAATAGCTCAGTTTTGATTAGTGTTTCAGAACGGATACAAAATGCTTGGATTTTTAATTAATAAACAATCTGGCATCCTGTCAAAGTTGACACTTCACTCTATCCTAGCAGCTGTTGGAACAGTAGGCTCCTGGCAACCTGGGATAAAGCGGCGCTTGCAACAGGGGAAGGAAAGGAAGTGAATCTGCATGAGACCAAAAATGCCTTGTGTAAAGCACCACGGAGCTTAGGGATTTCCAGTGGGCAATCAACCTTTCCTTCGCTGTGCTGTGGGCTCAGGCTTGGACATGGACAGGGACTTTCTCTCACTGAATGTCACCAGTGGCTGGTGGCTGACAGACATAAGGACACCTGCCCAATTTCGAGTAGTGTTTCTGACAGTAGTAGCAACAAACAGGGAAAGCACTGAACAGTGAAAGTAGGTCCTGCAGGTTGTTCCTTCCCAGGGATTATAGTGGCGGAGCCTGTGGGGAAGTTTACAGAGTGCCTGCTCACGTAATTCAAATAGAATCATTCACTCTGGATGACAGTCATTTGTGTCGGAGTCATGGTGTGGGAGCAGTGACGGTTGCCAAATAGCCCAGGAAGGCATTGTAGGAAGGAAAGGGCACGGCCTGGGTAGGGCAATACCTGAAAGCACAACCAGAGTTAAAGATTTCAGTTTTGGAGAACACGTTTCTAAACTGCTACTCTTCCTCAATCCCATCTGAGTAATAATAAACAACCTGATCTCTGATCACAGTGGACATGTCACGCAGTGATTGCGTAGCTGCTCCCCTCTGATCTGGGCAGCCCTGTCCCCTCCCAGGATGGGAATATCCTGGTCTTGTCCACATTAGCTCCTTAAGCCTTTCATAGAAGAACCAAGATACTTGAAACCCTCAAAATTGCTCTTCTTTCCTCATTTCTTCAGTAAAAATTATATGCAGGTGCCAACACTGCAGTGTCTATATGTTCCTGAGGAAGCAGAGATGGAAAATTTAGTCCAGAATCAGTATTGATCCCTACCTGAGGTGTTGTTTTTCATAGTGGGTTGAGGAGCACTGCTCACGTTCTCACATATGTGCTGGAGGAAGTACTGCATGAACAGCCGGCAGCGCGTTTGGCAGACACGTTGGTCAGCTCACAGGACTGTTTACACAGTCTGTTGAAAACATATGAAACGTATAAAAAGCCATAACATTTGAATATATTAGAAACAAGTTCATGAGATCAAGGAAAATTTTTAGGATAAAAGGACAATAATAAAGCAAAGGCCTAAGGGCTGCGATGCCTGCTAATTGAAATTTTAAATTTTACTCTTCTTAAAAATTTTATTTACTTTATTTTTAGGGAGCACAACTAGAAAGACATTCCAAAAATGGCTGTATGGTGTTTGGAAATCTGGGTACCAGCTGCAGTGTGCACATACTTGCAGAGGCTTCTGTTCAGCTGAGAACGGGCTGTGGACTCAGGTAAGTCCTGGGAGAGAGGTTAAGCCCGTGTGTTGTAAGAGCTAAGGGTACGACGTGGCCTTGTTCTATATAAGCATGTTTTGTGCTGATGTTTTCCAGTCACTGCGTTCCTTACAGTCAGTATAGGAAAAGGTGTGTGGCTGGCAAATCTGCAAGCCTGGGCAAAGCAGTTCTGGGTGTGGATGCTTACAGCCTATTGCCAGGTGCTTCAAATAGGCATTTATGTCAAAGATCTGAGGTCAATTCAATGATAGCCAATTTCAGCCCCAGATGATTACATAAATATTAATAAGAACAGTGGTGTATTTCACATTTATGTTTCTGCTCTGCGAAGTATCTACCTTACCCTGTAGCTGTAGCAGTAGTAGTAGTAGAATATATATCCCTTCAAGACATCCAAGAGAATGTATGAAGTGAAGCAAAAATTTATTAGCTTCTTTAATGTAACCTCAGTAGTTAAATGAGAAATAATTTTATTTTTTGTATACCGGCAGAGAAAAACAGAACAGAATAAACTCAAATGGGATAGAACTGCAATCTTCCCTGGTTTTACCTCTCTGCTGAATGACTCTTAATAACTTTTTACATCTCTGTGGCTTGGTTTCCCTGCCTGTAAACTGGGCACAATGAGAAGGAAGTTCTGGTAAAACATGCAGATCTATGGGGAATAAATGCTGTACAAGTGGTATAAAGTATTTGAATTAAAAAAAAAATGCATTAAGAAAAAAGGAGCAGAAAAGGAATGGAATTTCATCTGGAAGAGGATCTAGGATTAATTTATTGGTATAAAATATTTGTTACTGGCCCCATTTGCTTTTAAGGATATCAACCATTGACATTTTTATTGGTTCATCAGCCTTTTAATGTGTTTTGAATCTGACCCAGGACTGTGTAGAGCATGTGCTGGCATGTAGCTTTACACCATTTTCACTCTGCTCACTCTCTGACATTTTCACTAAATATCTTCCAGTTGCTATGGGCCTGCTTTTTTGGAGGGGCTTTGTTGTTGGTTTGGTTTTTTTCTTTTCTTTACATTCAGAGTCTGTCCTGCGAGTGGCTCTGACAGTGGTTTGGAGCTGTTAATGTCAAAAATGCTGTGTAGGAGGAAGTATTACGTGTCGGATTCCCAGAAGGGGGAAGCTGAGGCACAGCAATCAGCACCTCTCCAGAATCACACTGATAGTTTCTTTGAAGAAAAAGCCTTGACACTTAGTCCAAAACTTTGACAAGAAGAAAATCACGTGAAAAATGGGAACTCTTCTGCATTATACACCCCTGGGGGAAGAGGGGGAGCGCCACAACCGCTCCCTCCTCTCAAGAGTGGGTATCACTACTCCTGGGGAGGTGAAGTTTACAGCCTCCTTGGATGCTTCCACCCAATAAATCTGCGCCTAAGCTTTCTTGCCTGTTTTTACACGGGTGTTAGGTTTTAAAATGCTATCCATAGAGCAATCATTTTGAAGGAAAACTGAGGAGTGCTTTTTAGCAGATGTAAATCAGCCCCATTTAGGACGTCGCTAGTTCCCCAAGTGCTTTGGGCCGGGCCTGCTGACAAAAGAGGCAGTCCTGCCCTCTTCCTGCTCCCACGCTGTCCCCTCCCTTGCGCTGACACAGCCATGAGGTGAAGTGTGTTGGGAAATACATCCCTGTTCAAATCTATCCCAGCAAAAAACCTGAATGTCTGGGGAGAAGAGGCATTTGCTACTTTGCAGGGTGTCACCAGCACATCCTGGATTAAAGTCCTCGTGGCACCACCGAGTTAGTGCAATTCACTGATTTCCGTGAAAGCCAGGAGCGTCCCTAGTTTGTCCCAACAGCTTCTGGCTACAAGAGCTTCCAGCACCGCGGCTGGAAACTCAATCAAGTGAGTTTCAAAACATTTCATTCATACATGGTCCTCAGTTGATTCTTAATACACCTTTACTATAGCCGGTGGTGCTTCATAAGGCTGTCAGCATTGCAGTCGAACAAAGGCCGGTCTCAAGACTTTGTGTTGTGTAAATAAACCTTGTGCCTGGCAGGGTGTCACTGAGTTAATGTAAAGCCTGAAAAGGGGAGGGCGTGGGAGCAGCACGCAGGCCTTAACATTCTGTTTTCTGCTCAGGATTGCAACAGGATTGCAACAGCCCAGCCTATCTGAGCCACTGCACGTCCCGTAAACACGTCTCTGCACTTGGATTTGATAGGGGCAGTGATAGAACAATATACCTTTCTGGGAAATGGTAATGGACAGCCAGGTTTTGTTTGAAGGAAATTCCAAATAAACAATGGCAGTTTTCTTCTTAGAGTGCTGATGCTTTCCAGGTGGCCCACCAGACTGCCAAGCAAAGGAAATATATATGGCAGCATTTGCTCAAGGGTTAAAGTTTCAGGGTAAGGAGGGGGAATGTCAAAAATCCTATGAACTTTAATAGCTGTGCTTACATCTTTGTAGTAGCTTTGACTTTTTTTTTTTTTTTTTTTTTCTTTTCACATTCCCCAAGTGCTTTGGGCCGGGCCTGCTGACAAAAGAGGCAGTCCTGCCCTCTTCCTGCTCCCACGCTGTCCCCTCCCTTGCGCTGACACAGCCATGAGGTGAAGTGTGTTGGGAAATACATCCCTGTTCAAATCTATCCCAGCAAAAAACCTGAATGTCTGGGGAGAAGAGGCATTTGCTACTTTGCAGGGTGTCACCAGCACATCCTGGATTAAAGTCCTCGTGGCACCACCGAGTTAGTGCAATTCACTGATTTCCGTGAAAGCCAGGAGCGTCCCTAGTTTGTCCCAACAGCTTCTGGCTACAAGAGCTTCCAGCACCGCGGCTGGAAACTCAATCAAGCCAGTTTCAAAACATTTCATTCATACATGGTCCTCAGTTGATTCTTAATACACCTTTACTATAGCCGGTGGTGCTTCATAAGGCTGTCAGCATTGCAGTCGAACAAAGGCCGGTCTCAAGACTTTGTGTTGTGTAAATAAACCTTGTGCCTGGCAGGGTGTCACTGAGTTAATGTAAAGCCTGAAAAGGGGAGGGCGTGGGAGCAGCACGCAGGCCTTAACATTCTGTTTTCTGCTCAGGATTGCAACAGGATTGCAACAGCCCAGCCTATCTGAGCCACTGCACGTCCCGTAAACACGTCTCTGCACTTGGATTTGATAGGGGCAGTGATAGAACAATATACCTTTCTGGGAAATGGTAATGGACAGCCAGGTTTTGTTTGAAGGAAATTCCAAATAAACAATGGCAGTTTTCTTCTTAGAGTGCTGATGCTTTCCAGGTGGCCCACCAGACTGCCAAGCAAAGGAAATATATATGGCAGCATTTGCTCAAGGGTTAAAGTTTCAGGGTAAGGAGGGGGAATGTCAAAAATCCTATGAACTTTAATAGCTATGCTTACATCTTTGTAGTAGCTTTGACTTTTTTTTTTTTTTTTTTTTTCTTTTCACAAAACAACAGTGCAAGAGCAGCAGAATAAACCCAATTATTCCATTCAAAGCAGAAGGGAATCCAAAATGTTGATTTTTTTTTTTTTTTTTTTTTACTTCTCACAGATCAGTAATCAAGGGAGAATTGACAGGAATAACCCCCATGGTAAAAATATACAACTGTTTTTGAAAGAAACAGCATCTCGTATGCAAAGCTGTCTGGTACAGTGCATGCCCAGGGTGCTTTTTCAGGCCTCATGGGAAGTTTTGCAAAGAGCAAGCTACCTTTTACTGTTACTTTCAAAATCCTCTGTTGCTTTTTTTCTAGAGTGGTTTTCCCACAAAAGGTGATACAAACCATAAGAAAAGTCTCAGTAGAGCTTACCGCTCCCCCTACCCTCTTCTTTCCGTCCCTCCTCCCCCAAACACTGGGAGCTCTCAAAAATATTTTAGTATCCCGGAGATTAAAAACAGTGACTTTAATTTGTATTTGTCTTGTAATAGCTCTGACTTTCACCGCCTTGTCCTCCCCTTTATTGGGAGTACATGTGTGAGCACTCCCTCTAATGTTGTTTATACGCTCGCTGTCAGGTTCAATAAGCAGTTTCTTAGCAGGGCACCTTCCCACGTGAAGGAAATATTTCCAGTTCTTGTCTTAGCTCTTGTTTCCTCCATGTGCAGTGTCTTGACAAGACACAGCAGAGAAAACAGACCTGAGTATCGGCGGTATCAGTAAATCTGAGCTGATAAATGGAAATTAACTCTAGAACTTCATGAATCTGCTGGCAACTTAGATGTAGGGCAGCTGTTTACAGGGCATTTTATAGGTGTTCCAGTTATGCGAGTTTTGCACGGTGCCTATTTTAAGTTTAGACATTTTATTAATAGTGGATCTGGAAAATTTTAGAACTGTAGTACAGGAATGCATCTCTTGGGTAACGCTGAAAAGAATGTAGTAATCTGTTTAAGGATGTAAATAGGGATATTGCTAAAGAGGATCGAGATAAAATGTAAATGTGAATAATTGCTCCTAAGACAAAATAAAATTGGCAAGCAGCCGGGTAGAAATTAGAAATGTAACTAGTTTTATACCATGGGTACTAAATCATACTGGTGGAGTCTCAGGTCTAGTCAAGTGAATGGCAAAGCCACTGCTAACTTGTAGAACCAAGGACTTCCCCTTCATGAATAGGTACAGATAAGTAAAATTTCCCAGAGCAGAAAAACATATTATAGAAGTGACCAGATTTTCAGCTTTGAAGTAGAAGAGATACTTTCATTTTCAGTATCTCCATTAGACTTCTTTTTTTGCAAGACCAGGAGTGATAACCCTTGTGTCTGAGCCAAAATTCCAACCTAAGCAGAATGTACTCATCTAAATTTCCCTTTTGGTTTCATTTGGACAAGGTATTCTTTGGTGTAGTGTTGCTGTGTACTGTTACAGCAGTTGCTGTGTTGGGAGCTTGGGAAGGTGCCCACATGGAAGAGGTTACATAAAAACTAGACCATTGTAAGCTCAGAGAAACCCCTGAGTGTGATGATTATATGAGAAAACAATTAGGGAAAACACATCAAAGAATCTCAGTGAGAGTCCT